GTAGATCGTGCTGGAATAAAAAAAACAAGTCGGGCGCTGTAATGAAACGGGACTGATTCATAATTTCCGTCATTCTGCTCTGGTAAATATATGTTATCCCAGGTTGTGCCTGACCGAACTTACCGACAAAACCACGCGTATCATCCCGGACTCCTTTCGAAAGGTTGATGAGCGCATCAATGCACCGTGGTTCCCTGCGGGTTGAGTGTTCTTCCCCCTTACTGCATTCCCTGATTTGGGGGAGTTCCGGCTGGGTGGGGGACAATCCATCGTTTACACAAGGGCGTTCGATGCCAAACCCGATGGGTGTGTTATCCTCTTGAAGGAAGAAGGGCATTTGTTGTATGCTTCGATAGGATGAACCCCATAAGATGGAATGGAATATTCTTGTTCGTGTTTTGGGATTCCATGGAATCTTTGGTATATCGCTTAGGACAAAAAGCTCGGCTTGATCCACAGAGGCGCAATGTGCGCCCCTCCTCACTATCATCACGCATGTGTGATGATTCAGCTTGATGATGCATGGAAACCAGATGATACGACATCACCATACCACTTCTATTGATTGTACGCTCCTCACTTCAGCCCGCCAACCAGACACATATACGACCTTGGGAGCTCGTCCGAGGACGGATTGACAAACAGGGTACAGTCTATTTATCATTCTGGTGAAAGGTGAAGGTAGTCCTGTGTTTCAGCAAGTTTCATACACCGGGTCAGCATGATGGTTTATTTTTTGAGGTTTTTGATGAGACCCCGCTCAGGCGGCGCGGGCACCGCCTCGAGGTAGATGAGCGGGCTTGTGGGATCATTCTTGGTAAGCCTCACTCGCATCACCCTGAAACACTGGAGACGATCCCGAAGCGGGCTCCTCCATAAGACGTTGCCATGAAGGCTAGAAGCTGTCAAAAATGCCAAGCTGAAACACAGCCCATATGCATTCAAAGTCGTGTCGTTGATTGATTGATCGTGGACTGACTGATTGATTGATTGATTGACTGACTGATTGATGATCATCGGACTAAGCTTCTTTGCCGCCCACATCTTCAATTCGCCCATCCAGCGTGCATGTTATTCGCTCTTTGATCGACGGACATCTACTTCGAGGGAAGCAAATGCGTTGATGCGTATGAAGCTGTGGGTAAGATTGCATGTGGATTGTAACGGCGTGAGCGACTAGCCTCGACGACCGTGTCACAATGCGTCAAAAATTGCTGATCACTTGGTGAAGCAGCCTTTCAAACCGACAATAGCCGGCTCAACAGCCGTGCAACCTAGTCATCCGCGCGAGAACATGGCTTGTCAGATCAGCAGTCTCTGATCCAGTGAAATCTGCCCAAAGAAAGTCAAAGGACACTATCTTTGTCAATTGGTAAGGATTATAGAGAAACATCAGATACAACCATCTGAACTCCGGCACTGAATGAGGAAAACGAAAACGGAACAGAGAGCAACCCACAAGCAGCCTACTCTCCATCAACAAGAGCGAGATCCTGATTAATTGCAACCACAGATGAGCAGCTGTGCGACTGGCAGGCGCATGTCAAAGCGACACCAAAGCGTACCTTGCGGACCCGGAGAGCTTGTAGCTCACCGATGATTCGGTCATTGCTGGTGTTGATAGCAGCACCCAGTACCCTACCACCCGTAGCTTCGACCCCTTCCGCCTCTCCCAGAACACCTACAGCATTCGTACCATCGTCGAACCTCGCTGGTTCAATCTCGAGTCCCTGCTCATTTGCCAGATGTAAAAGGCAGATGAAACAGAAAGATGTTGAAATCTCTGACATCTTGTCGGAAGTGTATGATCCCCGCAAATTCTCGATGACGGTCGAAAATGTGCGCTCCTCTCCTGGAGTGTAGTCCTCATCGTTCAGCGTTTCGGCCTCCATCTTTGCAAGCTGATGTTAGCGCGACTTAGCGATGATCTCTCTGATTTGCTTACTTCTGCCTCTGTTCCGGTATCATTTCTCGTTCCGGCAGGTATCTTTAGACCTTTCCAAATGTTGTCCTTTAGACGCTTGACATCCACACGCTTCGCCCTCTTTGCATAGTTGACGGCCTCTGGTTTGACTCTCTTCACGTCCTGCGTTCCGGCGAAAGGGTCATCCTCGTCAGGTCCTCCAGGCGTGTCGCCAAGCAATCCATCATCTACTTCCGCAAAGTCTCCCGCGTCGTCAACGTCATCGTGGAAGAACTGAGTATCGTATCCGTTGGGCTGGGTGCCTTCCACTAGAGTTGCACCAGCAAGATTGTTTTAGTACTGTCTTCTATGGTGACATTGACTGCACTGACCATCGTCGTCCATTTCTCCAGCACGCGCAGCAGCGGCAGATGCCCAGAAGCTTTCATCAATCTCGCCGTCGCCTATCCGGGAAATCCAGAAATATGTTAACGATCGGATGCTACAGATTCCAGAAAAGATACGTACCCTGAGTAATCTCTGACATTTCGATTCGCCGTCGCATTTTCAGCTGTTTATATGGAATAAGCGATGAGGTTCGTGCGCGACTGATAGCCCATCTAGAAACTTACCGTGAATTTGGGCTTCATGAACAAGCGTAGAAGTTGTCTTGAACTGAAATGCATATCGTCAGGCAAAAGATGCTCGTCACGAATGTCCGTAACATCTCCGGCTTCTTTCGCTTTCTTTCCTTTCTTGCCCTTTGGTGGAGTACCCGCTCGTCCTCTTTTCGTTGAGATAGCAGGCAAAGTGATAACAGTCTTTGAAGTCGCAAAAAGATCTTTGGCTGATGGAGCTTCAGGATCCTCAAAGTTGATCAAGAACGGTGTCTTCTCCTTTCGAGTCTGCTTTGCTGTGGTTGCGCTTTCGGATGGATCGGCTAGAGAACAGTCGAGCAGGAATATGAGCATCTCGAAAAACCAAATAGTATCTTGTCGAATTTACCTCGTTTGACAGCTCGTCTCACTTTCCAATGCTCGGGACCTGCCCAGTTCTTGAGGAACCCCTGATCAAAGTAATCTAACATCATTGTGTCGCCATCATCCATGGCCATGACTAGACCGTTCGGGCCAGTGGATTTCGATGGATCAAAGGGAATAGCCGGGCCATAAACGACACGACTATCGGCATTCGCGGAATTCTGATGACCGCCCTGGTGCTCCTCGAAATCTTCACCGCCCATGTCGCCTTCGCCGCCATTACCAAAGAACCCTTGCTCTTGATCGTGTTCGACGAAATCGTTTCCACCACCAAAAAAGTCCTCTTCATTGCCCGCTCCATATTGTGGTTCAGCATCTCCAACAGATATGTCATCGTCGTCTTTCCCTATTCCCGTTAGCCCCGCAAGGGTAAATGCTTCATTGGGATCCGCACTGAACTTGAAGTCGGCAAGCGTTACGGAAACATTCTTCCTGGTGATGTCGTTCAGAGACGGTAGAAGTCCTTCGAGTGGATACTGCGGTGAGCTTATTTTTAGAAAACGAGTCCAGACTAACATACCTTGCAGTTTCTCGATAAGAGGGAGATCTCTGAGGTCTTCCAGCGCTTCCGCTTGACTGTTCCCGTCTTCCCCCAATTGCTCATCTTCCTCATCTACTTCAACATCTCCCGAATCAAATACCACTCGGCCCTTTCCATCAATGCTTAAATGATTCATCAACAAGCCCATAGCACCCCCTTCGTCGAAATCTGCAGAAGTCTTCTTGAACAAAGGATCGACCGTGAATTCGAGATCGAGTTTCTTTACTTTCAGTGCATCGAAGGACTTTGCGAGGGTAGTCTGATTCCCTTGAGTCTGTATTCTTTCGGAATTTCAGATGTCTAAGTGGCTCGAGCAGTAGTCAAAAATACGAACCCGTTTCTTGGTCTTCTTCTGTATATCGTCTGCATCATCGTCGTCTTCATCACCATCGCCACGAACGGCCCCTTCTCCATCGTCGTCCTCAGCATCCAACGCCAGACCATTGATAAGTTTGCCCGTCTCGGTCGCAACAGAATCGACTCGTGAAGTCCAGACTTTAACGCATCCGTCTAATGTGCACGATGCCTTTTGGAAGTTGATGCCTAGGATGAGTGATGTCAGCAAATTTATAAAGGGAGATAAAACCGTCATATACTACGTACTGGCATCGTCAGGTCCGTTCCTTAGAAGGGTCAAATCCGCGAAATAATCAATCAATGCAAAGCCCCAAGTGTTATTGGTGTTGATTTTCTGTGAAGGGGACAATATGAGCGGGTCATGCGGCGAAACCAGTATAATTTGATTACACCTACATTATCAGTCGCCATCTTCATCCACTCTTCAAAGTTACTACTCATAACCTCCATAGAAACCTGAGGTATGGCACTCTTGTCGTTGGCTCCGAGCACTGGCACAATCATCGAGTTCTGCCCTTGAGGCCTTCCGACGACCGACAATCGAGCCTTCTTTGCTCGAACACTCGTGTTTCGGGAGTCTTTCCCGCCAGTAGAAGAATCGAGAGCTGAGCCGGTAGCAGATTTACGTTTTCTTCCATCTCCTTGCCTAGTCACGTCGCCGGCTTCAGCTGCTGGATCCGTAGCGTCTTCATCTTCGCCAACTTGTTTTCGCAGACTGCTTCGTCGTTTGCTTCTTTCGGCGAACGTATTCACTCCGTTGCTTCTCCTTCTGCTCCTCCGCTCCTCCTCATCGTCATTGAAGCCTAGATCGGACACCGATGTTCGGCTGTTGGTGGGTCTCCGAAGGGACACTGAACGCCTAGACGATACTTCTGAGGCAGGTGAACTGGGTACGGCGGGTCGCTTTCTGTTCACGCGAGGAGCTGGCATATCGGTAGCGTTCGGATTGCCTCGAGTGTTACGAGGAGGAGCAAAATCTCGCAGCCGTAGTCCACACAGAGCCTCGTGCTGAACAGAAGGGTTTACACTAAGCAAAGCAATAGAAGATCATTCAACACGAAGGGCGCGCATACAGATACCGCGTGCGATCGACTGTTTACTTTCTGCCCCAAGTACTTTTTGAAGTTGGATATAAGCTTTGGGCAAACATTCAACCAACATCTCTATGGTGAAACGGTATCATGGTCGCTTGCCATTGCCTCAACGGCTCAACTTGCGATCGGCAGGGGTTCGACTCCCCTTGGAGATACGTCTTTTTGTTTTCTGCTTGCTGATGCATTTTGGGTTTTCCTTCGCCCCGCATTCCCTCGCGTTCTGTGCGACAGGAATGACCGCTTCGCGGAGCAACTCTGCGCTTGGTTTGTTCTAATCTCGACATTTCCCTCCATAAAGACTAGAATATGACTACAGTCCGGTTGGAATATGCTAGGCTAAGAGCACAATGTCCATTCTTTATTACAGCTTGATAAAGTCGAAAAGGTCTTTCACAGGGTGCGCAGTGCCAAGAGCGAGCTAATACCCCCCATCTGACGGCCCGCCGTAATATCGCCCCTGCTGTTGGCCTTGTGCAGCCTGCGCAGCTTGCGCCTGAGCGAGAGCCAAGGCCTGGCAAGGAGTATGGAGCCATGTCAGCTAGCAAATCGCGTAAAACCGGAATGGAGCAAGAAGAAAACCAACCTGAGCCTCGGACATTCTCATATCCTGCGAAGACTGAGCCTGTTGTGTTTGCTGCATATGTGCCATTTGCTGCTGAGCGATATTCGGGTCTGTAGAGAGAAGACGGCTCCCGAAATTAGCCGCCGCGTGACTATTGGCCTTCAACACAGCACTCACTGTATCCATAATTCTGCTGGTGAGCTGCTGCCTGAGCAGCTTGAGCAGCCTGCAGCCTCTGCTGTTGAACAGCGTGAGCCTGCGCCTGAGCGGCAACTTGTTGCTGTTGCTGCTGTAACATGGCCGACTGCTGCATCTGCTCATTCGTCATTTGCGTGTACTGTTGTTCTCGGAAGTACGGGTGTTGCAACGCTTCTTTGGCTGACAATCGACGGGTCGGCTCAAAGTGAAGCAGACCTTCAAGGAGGTTGATAGCTAGCGGCGAGGCACGGGGAAGCAGTGTCTGGAAGTTTTGTTTCGGGTATTTCGGAAGTTGACGGAATTGTACTTCAGGCTGTGGAAAAACTTCTTTGTCAGCACGGGTATACGGACGGGACGACTCAAGATGAACAAGACTGACCGAGTCCTGCATAATCTTTCTAAAAGTCCTGTCATCTGGCGTTCCCACAACCTTGATAATAGCGTTGAGTTGATCATTGTTATCTCTTCCTCTGAACAAGGGGACACCCGAAATCATCTCCGCGAATCTAGATAGTAATCAGGGCAGAGAAGAATAAGCAGGGTTGGCGGTTCAGTCATGACTTCAAAAGTACATACATGCACCCAGCACTCCATATATCGATACTCGTGCTGTAGGTCCTTGAACCCAACAAGACATCCGGAGGTCGATACCATAACGTAACGACCTATTATCAGGAGGAAATGCAGTAATGTGGTAGATTATTCAGCGACTGACATGATACGGTTTGCCTGTTGCCTGCACGAAAAATACAGATACAGACCTCATTACTGAAGGTATTCACAGGCACACCAAACGCCCTCGCAAGCCCGAAATCACCGATCTTGAGTTCTCCCCGCTTGTTGATCAAAAGGTTCTGGGGCTTGAGATCTCGATGGAGCACACGGTTGTCATGGCAGTAAGCAATACCCTGAGAAAAGAAGGGACGAGGATAAGCGCCAGCGCAAAGCCAGGAAACAGTGGGGAGGGGAGTTTGACTAGAAAACTGACCTTGAGGAGCTGGTACATGAAGCTTCTAACAATTTCGGGATGTAAAGCGCCCTTCTCGCCCGTCGTGTCCATGTACTTTTTCAAGTCTTGTTCGCAAAACTATTCCGTGCAGGATAGATCGTTAGATACGCTGCAACGCTAGACATATACTGGAAGGGAGAATTACCTCAAAGACAAGAATCAGGCGGGATTCAGTGTGCTGTACGTCATGTAGGCGGACAATGTTGGGGTGTTTCAGTTCTAGGCAGTTGACGCAGGAAACCAAGAAAGTCAACTTCTGGCGCAGTATGTTCCATCGATCAGCGCACCGGAGAACGCACCTTTCATAAGACTAATCTCACGAATCGCAGTTGATGGTGTCCCTTCCTCTGGATCCAGATGAATTTCCTTGAGAGCGACAATTTCTTGAGTTTGTCGATTTCGACCCTGCAGTGAAGGGAGTCAAGACAAGAGGTTTGTGCATGTTCACAATGCCAAGAGGACCAGGGCTAACCTTATGCACCGTCGCATACGTGCCCTCACCCAGCTTCTCCAGCTGGATATAGTTCCTGTGGATAGAGTAGTTTGCGTTCGAAGACGGAGTAATGAGGAGGAAGGCCGGTGGGACGTGAAGCGCAAGTCATAGTCGTCAATTTCCGAGTTCGCCACATAGGAGGGCAGCACTTACATTTTGAGTGGTCCACGTACCAAGACTCTTCGTGGCCCTGCAGAGTTCAAGAACAATCCGTTCGCAGACAGCTATACACGATAACGGGAGATGTTTATTCTGACAGTCTAACACAACAACGTGCCGACGAGCCTTGGAGCTCTGGAGTGTAAAAGCGGACGACTGACGTAATACTGCCTCTTCGGAAAAGAATTCTGAATTTTTACCAACTCCACGTCTATATCGGTCCTTAATAGCGCTTTCTATATTGCTTATTGCGTTAATCTAACCCCCTCAAGAGGCTCGAGGAATATAGCGCCATAGATGACGATTGACGAGCATCATCAGCGTCCTCTTGATAGCAGGACTTGGCCAAATCAACAGTCGACAGCTTGCACACACATACAATGGCAGACTCTGAAAGTAGGTCATGGATGGCTGAAAATAGTCATGTATACTGGACTTACCCGCTCTTGAACCCGTAGAAATCGCCCAGTTCATCGAGCTCACCGGCGCATCAGCAGCTGAAGCGAATCAGTTCCTGTCGGGATCCGATCTGTCGACAGCCGTGGCAACCTATTTCGCAGCTCAGGACGCTGAGTCAGGAGGCATTGGTGGAGACTACGACGAGGAGGATGACGACGATGACGACGTGATTATGGGCAACGCCACGGGCTCTGCGGCTCCTTCAGTTCCCGCTCCTCAAGCCACGGGAGGATACACGCTCAGCGGCGCACCCGTTCCAGTATCCACCGAAGGCATCAGCCGAACCTCTTCTGCAGCAGGTAGTACTTCCAGCGGTCCCCGCGTCGGCAGAATCGGGGGTCCATCCACAACCGGCAACAAGTCGAAGTCATCTTCGAGCGGCGGAGCTCGGATAGGCACACTATCCTCGCTCAACGCATCTGCGAATGCCTCAGACGACGAAGACGACGACGGCGACGATCCTGTTGCCGATGCGAGGAAGAAAGTCGAGTTTTATGCTGGTGGAGGCAAGTCGGGTCTGGCGATCCAGAATCCAAATGACCCAACAAAGGGAACATCGGGTGAAGATATCGTCAACGAAATTCTTGCACGAGCCAGACAAGGCGGTGCCGCGGAAGGTGAAGGCGGTGGGAATGCCCCTGGGCGGGGAAAGGGCAAGGCTGGAGGCAGCAGCAAAGGCTTATTCAGTGGCGCCGGGATGACTCTGGGATCGGACGAGGTGCCTTCGGTGGCGGTTCCCGACCCTTCAACAGCTCATCAACATGCTTCTCCTCAGCCGGGACGAGCACCCACAGGTATGAGTGGGCTCCTAGCGCAAATGTTTGGCGGCGGCGGACCAGGCAGCGCCGGTATGGGGTTGCCAGGTGGCGGAAGCATACTGGGTGCAGGTGGAAACCCTGGGTTCGCTCACGGCGAAGAGGAGGAGGAGGAAGACGATGACGAGCCTCAGATCAGACACCTTACCTTCTGGAAGGATGGATTCAGTATTGAAGATGGACCGTTGATGAAGTATGATGACCCCGCGAACAAGGAGATCCTTGCTGCTATCAAGGCCGGGTAAGCTTTCCGCCCCTCTAGTGGTGATGATGTCCATACTCAATTAACCTTGCGTGTCATCGTCTATATCCAGCCGAGCACCACTATCTATCCTCAATGTCAAGTTTGGTCAACAAGTCGAACTTCGCGTCGCCCAAAGGCAAACCGAAGCCTACCAACCTCCACCAAAGAAACCGATGAAGGCCTTCTCGGGCTCTGGTAATCGGTTGGGCTCGCCTGCGTCACAACTCGTTGACTCGTCAACCTCTGTTCCCTCTCATCAGACCAGCCACAACATGCCAGGTGGCTTCGGCGCTACTGGACAAGCGTCTGCTGACGCAATTGTGCAGAGTGGCGGCCTCCGATTGCAAGTGGATGAAAGCAAGCCTACAACAAATGTCCAGGTCAGACTGGCGGATGGAACAAAGTGCGTTTTCAAGATTCTTTTGGGTGACAAATTCCTCGAGTCATTCACTGATAAACTCAATATTATCCAGACTTGTCGCGAAACTCAATCTGGATCACACAGTAGGGGACATCCGCAGATTCATCTCGGCGTAAGTAATAATCCGTGTAGGAGAGAGTCACAAGTACTGATCATTTTCCCTTTGCATAAATATCTTGCCAAACCAGTGCCCAGCCAGGTTCACGCTCTTATGTCATCCAAACCACGTTCCCAAACAAGACTTTGGATGACGAATCGTTGACGATTGAGCAAGCAGGGTTGAAGAACGCAGTGGTAGTTCAACGATGGACCTAAGGACTAGGGTGGGGACACCAGTTGTGCATTACGCATGGCGCGGATGCACTGTACACCGTCACGAAAGATTGAAACCGAAAGGAATTTAATGTCCAGGTCGATACATAGAACATCTCAACCGTTGTACAGTATTCATAATGAATGCTCGTTACCTATCATGAGCGCCGCTTGGCACTACCAATAACAGTTCCGTTAACCTGCAAATTTAACCAGTCGGTTTCAGCTTGCTGTCTTTATACGCATGATTCTTTGCAATGGAAATGCGTACCTTGGTGGCAAATCTGAGACTGTTCAGTGTCTCGTTCGTGTGCGCTGCCAAGGGCGACAGATTGCAGAACATTAGTGTTTTACTTGAGCCTATTGCATAAATTACGAGTTAGAATTCTCGCAGAGCCCTGACTGTATTTACAGAACCCACCGGACAATGAATTCTGCAACAAGTAGGTGAGCTGGGAATCCCTGTAGTTAACATGCGTCTTG